CTGCAAAGTTCTCGCATTTAATTCAACACTCCGCTTTCATAGTATCTGGTATAGACGTGTACCCAGTTTGGTTACGAAAATGCAAACGAGCTTGTTGCGAGGCATCTCGAAAATTAACCGATAACAAACGAAACCGAGTACCCACAACAGCAGGGGGCAAGAAAACAAAACGCAGCAAATGCAAAATACACAGCACGCAATTGCGTTTTCATGATCAAACGAATTGAAAAACAAAAAACGCCTATTCTCCCTCGTAATTACGTATATCTTTCGGAATGAAAATGAACTTGTCCTTTAGTTGTCACTTAGTTTTTCATTTCGCACGAAAAAAGAAAAAAAAAAAACAATCAAGCCCACATTCGACCTGCCACTGCACAGTCATCTCCCGAAAACTCATTCCCCCTGTCTTTCCATCAATTCAAACGCATTTTCGACGCAACAAACAGAAAAAAAAAAAAAAAAAGCTGGGGGTGGGGACACCAATCATTGACTCCAACCAACTCTGCTCTTTAATGCAAATTAAAAAGTTTTCTCTCCTCCCCCCCCTCCCATCTTTTTTCAAAAAAACCGCCCAACCGAACGATGTACTCCCCCCGCCGAATTGAATTAAAACTTTCTTCGCGAAAACTTGGCCCGCGGCGAAAAGAGAGAAAGAGAGAGAAAAAAAATCCCCATCGAGGGAAAGGAAATCTTCTCGCCTTCCAATCGCAATTGCCGGATTGCACTATATAACGTACACACTACGCGACACAACACACACACACGCGCACACGCGCGCACATAATCAATTCGAGTTTCGCGAGAGAGAGAGAGAGAACGCGGGCTCGCTCGAGTGACATCGACTTCGTTATCGAGTTCGTCTCCCTCTGAATTGATTAGTTTGTAAATAGGCAAAGCGCTTTAGCGCCCTGTATATAACTGCCTCCGAGAGAGAGAGAAGCAGCAGCGCGTACACGTATACATATATACGATACATATATAGGGGTGGGTGGCAAATCGTGCATACATGCACCCAAGTGAGAAACCGAACTGCCGGACTGTACGGCGATGAATATGATGATGATGGGTTTACTGGGGGGGGGGGGGGCTTGCTCTTAACGATTCGCTGCTTTTGTAGCTGGTGTTGGACATACCTCAATCGTATCGAAGTTTCTGTGCTTTATACCCCCATTCGAGGGTAAAGACGATTTCGCCACTGCGTGCCATACATCACCATGTTTCAAGTGAAATATTTTACGGTGACGGTATCAGCACGCTCCCCCGAATATTATCCGTATCGTAACGATGTATATCGGAGGGGGTTGCTCGGACGTAAATTATTTTTAAGCGCATATGATGGGAGGGGGTAAAAAAATCGCGGCCCACTGAAAAGAGAGTCGTACAGTAGGTGTGGGCTGTACAAATTTTATACGATGGGTCAAACTATCGGATCATAGACACGAGTAATAAAAAAAAAAAAGATATCTCCATTTCCAAGCAGAGTATCGTTTTTCACGTCGAAAACAATCAACCGATCACCAACCGCTTAAGTACATGTATACATCAAGTGTCGATAACGAGTGTATCCCCCATCTCCCTTACGCATTAATTTGTTCTCCTCCCTCCGTGGATACACGTAACTCATCAACGAAGAAACTGCGAGCTGCATAAATATATACAGGAACAAGAAGAAGGTGTATACTTGCAGGGGAGCACACGTACGAGCTATATAGCATCCAGGGAGCGAGCGAGTAAATCTGAAACTTGGTACTTATCGAGGGTGGATGTCCCCGCAAAACTTTGGTCCTTCCCTCTCTCTCCACTCCTGCGCTATAAATCTAATTAGCACAACTATATGGAGAAACGGAGGCAGACAACGAGGATGGGGACAGGTTTACCTGGTGTGCATTGTCGTCGCGTGCTCCCCGCGACAGAAGAGGCTATATACTGGCAGTGCGCTCCTCTCTTCGAGACATTTTGATCATTGGACCAAAGGATCCCTTCCCCGCTCCCGATGTCGTCCTCTTGGTCTATTGTACGTGCACCTATAAATCATGTATATATATAAACCATTGCGGGAGGAAACGTGACAAGTCGCATTCTCGACAACTTTGGACCGTAGGTGTATACATGTATACGTACGTGCGGGTGTATTGGGAACTCGACACATGTGAAATGACGAGCTCGCATCCACTATAGATACATAAGTATAGTACATACACGTGACAGTTGTCAGCTACGAAGGAGCAATTTCTTTTCTACCTTTTTTGTGTGTTTGAAGAGGGTCGAGCTTCCTCTCCTCTCGAGGTCTTCTTTTTTGGGGGACCTTTTGCTTCAAAGCTGCACAGCCTTGACTACATTTTATATGTGCCCGCACCGTGTGAGTGTATGTCCAATTGTCGTGTAGCAGATATGCTGTGAAAAGTATGCAAAAAAATGTTTCTGCAACGATATTCACGGGAGCGTCAGAAAGGGTGGGACGATTGAATTACACCGAGTTTTTCTTGGTCGAGGACCTCGCGAGCTCGCTGAGATCCGCGCGACCGCAAAGTTTGGAAATAATTGACGAGTGCGCTCGCCTCGCGGAGGCCGGGCTGCCTCGGGGTCTTTCGCAACTTTTCATCTCCCCGAGCAATAAATCACACTTTTTGGGTACATCGTACGTACTTATCGTCGGGGCCCCGATGAATTATTATTGTTACAAAAAAACAAAAACTTTTATTACACCCGACGCGAAGTGGAGGAGTGAATTTTATCTTTGTCGCGAAATTAATTAAAACTCGTCGATTGCGTTATTCGTTTTGGGATTGAACTACGTGTGTTTGGATTACAGATTATTTAATGAATGTATATCCACACACGTACAATCAAATGATGATGCAAAAACCGGCGAGTATGACGAGAGTGTCGCCGCTTTGTGCACGTATACGTGTATGCGTTACAATCATTGCCTATATGTTATTTATTGTACCTACACTTGCGTAAGCTTGCCTCGTTAATTCCGCGCAAATGAATTGACGGGAAATAGTTTGCGTAACGTTATAATCCATCGGTTTGGGTTTCCTGATGAGCTTTGATTTTCGCGGGAAACGTGATTCGGGGATGGGGAAGGTTGTTATTTTCGCTATAATTATTTACGTTTCGTGGCTATTAATGAGTTGCAAAATGTACAAACGAGGTGATTCGAGGTTCGATAAATCGATCGATCGTTTATTTTTTTATGTGGAGTTTGTAAAAAAATACCGGAGAAAATGTTTTCGGAGCAAGTAAAAAATACTAGAGTTTTCTCGTGAGACCAAAGGTATAGGTACGATCAGCCCTGTGCCTCCGTACCCATACCAGTAATGCCGAAGATCAATAATTTCTTGGAAGTGTATGATAAGGAAAAAAGGCGGAGGCACGCCTGTTACACACAGACACCGAATTTCCATAAAAATTTAACAGTAGCTCTACCGACCCGTCATCTCCTTATCCTACTATACGTGTACGACTGCACCGCATCAACCCTCACGTCCGCGCCCTAATTGCCAATGTTTCCTCCCCTCGCGCGAGCGCCCGAGCTCTCGTACCCTATACTTACTACAAACGAGAAGAATCTCCCTCCCCCACCCCCCTCGCTGTCGAAAAGGTTGGCTCTCGATTCGGAATTTAATCGCAAGGTACGATTCTTTTTTGTGCCTACCCGCGCCCCTTCGTAAATCAAGCGAACGTCGGGAGGTGCATTTGAATCTTTCCAACAGTTTTCCACTGCCCTCGTCCTCCGTCGATTGCCAAGGCCTCTCTGTTTTCCTGTACGCACACATTTATTTACGAGGGCAACAGACAGAAAGTGAAACATCAATGGCAACACCACTTGCTTTAAGCGCCTTTTGGATTACGATTTAAAAAATTATGGGCCTGACGGGGTGTGGGAGACAATCTGCGAGTTTTAATTAATTTTCGTGGCCTGTACATTGTTTTATATATATCTCCACGCAGTGGGGAGGGATGGAGCGCGACTTTTCAGTGATAAAGGATACCGAAGAAAGTAGGCGTAAAAGAGGCCGGCGCAAAAAAAAAAGTTGGGGTGGAACTATCTGAAAAATTTCCTGAACTCGCGGTTTCTATAGGGAGTAATATTTATGGCCGTAAAAAAAAAGAAACGTCCAGAGTTGCGGGGGTCGAGGATTCAATTATATGGAGTTCTGCAATTGATTTTTTACCCGTTCCCCCCACCGTTGCCGGGCCATTGAGCCGCACGAGCCATTCCGCGTCATTATACGAATGCCCCCGCGCCATTTGGTCTTCCTTCCTTCCCTAAACGCGTATCCTACACCCACTCGTGAACTTACATGCGAATACACCGAGCTGGTGGTTTTTTTTTTTTTGTTACTTTTCTGTATGTAACAATCGTAAAATTGTAACTAATCGTTCGTCACGTCGTGACCGAGTGATGAAAGGCGCGGAAAAATTTTGCAAAGACCAGCGCGTTTCGGGGTGATTAACGCGCGACGGCGCTTAAGGTGGAATTAATTATTACGAATTATTATACGAAATGGCCCGGGCCAACCGCTCCCGACTCCGAATGATTAAAACGCGCGCCCAACCGATGTACGCACTTTTTCACTAACTGCACGTATAACGCGCGTGATAGGTCGCGTTTTAATTATTTTTCATAAAACGCATCGCGGAGCGTGCAGCTTCATTTAACACATATATCGGGGGGGAGATTAAAACTTTTTAATGATGTACCCGAGGTAAAGATGAACAATGTAAAATTAAAAGTGAAAAACACTCGCGCCGATAGTAAGGGACTCTCTCTTCTTTTTTGTTTTTTTTTTTTTCTTTTTTTCCTCGTTCGCTAAGGCTGTGCAATAAGCTCTTTATCAACGCTTTTTGTACGTTGTGGCATTGAAAATTAAAATAATCGCGAAAAAAAAAAGGTGATTATATTGTAACGTGCGCGAGCTCCCGCCTCTAGCGGTTCACGTATAAATACACCGGGGCCGGTAATTCTGTCGCGTTTGACGTTTAGTGGGATTTCGCGTGAGTTTGAGTGCACTCCGTGCCATTATGATTGGCGCGACGCGTTACTCGGCCACTTGGCTCTTCTTTTTCTCTTGTCTCGTTGCCACCGGTTTTTCAAAGCCCCATGACTACCAAGTGGAGCTCGTTCAAGTGGTAATTGACCCTTTGAAATTTTCTTTCTCCTACTTTTGTTGGTGACGGTAATAATATTCCTTTTTTTTTTCTTTTTTTTTCTTTTGTTGACACGCAAAAGATCTTCAGGCACGGAGACAGAACGGCCACACCCTACGAGTGGTATCCCAACGATCCCTACAACGAGACCATCTACGAACCCTTCGGCAGAGGCCAATTAACAAGCGTGAGTACATACCACCCGTGAACTTGGTACCATCGCAAATAAATTATTATTGATGTACCTCAACCCTGGCGTGCAGCGTGGCAAAGCGCGGGCGTACAATTTGGGCCAAGTGCTGAAAAAGAAGTACGAGAAGCTGCTGGGCGAGGATTACAGTCCGAACGTGCTTTTTGCGTACAGTACGAACGTGGACCGCACGAAAATGTCCCTCCAGCTCGTCCTGGCCGGTATGTACCCGCCAAAGGGGCCCTTCCACTGGAGCGACACCGTCGAATGGATGCCCATACCTGTGTACCACAACTTTGACTCGTTCGACTTTTTGTGGACTGCTTACTACTGTCCCAAGTGCGTTTGCCAACAATTGCTATTTATTACATAACTTACCTGTTTACGATGTGACATGTATGTTGTCGACGGGGAAAAAAAAAATTTTTCGATCAAATAGTTACACCTTGAGCCCGAATATGGTTGAAGGTCATTTGTTTATTTCCGGCACTTGTTTGGAACAATTGGGATCTAACATTGGAATAAAGGGAGTATTTGCCACGTCTCTATAACGTCACTCTTGAACTATCGTGTGCTCTGTATTTATCTTTTTTTTTTTTTTTCTCTCTGCGTGTCTTGAATATTTTTTGATAATCTATTTGTTTGGATTCGATGAATTTTTTAATGAAAGACTTTTATTCTGTGTTTACGCTTTAAAACATCTGACAGGAGCTTAGTGATGGTAAAAAACAATTTAAAAAAAAAATGCAATTCAAAAAGTCATTGCCGAAATTGATTTTCATTAGTTGATCGTAGATTGATTTTCCCAAAAGTCGGATCAACCGTTGACTATTAACAAAAAAAAAAAAATAATAATTTACTCTTTTGTGATAAAACAAGGTTCGAGATAATTTGGAACAACACTCTTGCCTTGCCCTCGGTACAGAAACAACTGAAGGAGTACTCGAGCTTCATCAAGTACCTGTCCAAAACCACTGGTCTACCGGACGACCCCCACATGGGCGCTCGCCTCTTCGAGATCATGCACTCTCAGGTAAGATGGAAATTTTTTTAAATCACCCGCTTATTCCAATAGCTCGTAAGTACATCGTTCGGTCCAACCGTCAGAAAAACTTGGGCTACGAGTACCCCTCCTGGTGCAACGACGAGGTCTACGAGAAGCTCAAAGAGATATCCGCCTTCCGGTACGACGTGTACTCGTACACGGACCAGATGAAAAGAATTGCCGTCGGACCGACGATCCGAAGATTCTTGCGCAACATCAAGACGAACGACGGCCAGCCGTCGCCCAAGATCTATCTGTACGGCGGTCACGACGACAACGTCGCCACCCTCATGAGGACACACAAGTTCACTTCGCCGAACCCGGCGAGGTCTCCCGACTACTCTAGCGCCTTCATCATGGAAAAACTGCGAGGCCGTGATCTGCAAACTTACATAAGGGTGAGATTTGGATGGTTTTTCAAGATAATGTTGTACTCCCTTGTAGTGTACAAATTAATATCATAAACGACTTTGGACTATACAAAGTGGAAAATTTTCATAAATTCCTAGGTGTGGCAAACGAGGGTGTTCCCTTTTTTCGTTTAATAAATCGATACGTTTAAAAAATAAACGTCGATAACTCTCGGTACTTTTGAATTTTGGTACATACAAAAACAACATTATTCCACATCAATGAATGGTATGGAGAGAAAAAACACTATTGTTTACTATAAATAATAATAATAAAGGTATTAATCGATGTTTTAGCTGCTGTACTACCCGGGAGAAGGTGACGAGTTCCAGGTGATGCAGCTGAAAAACTGCAATAAGGAGTGTCCCCTGTCGCGCTACTTGAAAATCATGAGGCCCGTTCTTCCGTTCGGCGAGGGCACGCAGTGCCTTTACGAGGAAGCCTACCAGGACGTCAAAAACGTCATCGACGGGTACGGACCCGGCACACGCAGCAACATACTCGAGCTCAAGTACGCGTACCAGATCGGGCATTGAGTGTACACATACGAAGCATTGTTTCATTTAGTTAAGTCAACGTAAAAATAAAAAAAAATAAATAAAAAAACGAGACGAAAATCATTGAGATGGCGCATTTATCTTCTTAAATTTCATTAGAATTGCGCATTTTTTCAAAAGCATAAAGAAACGGAAGAAAAAATATACATATAATCCGCGTGTATGATCGCGGTACACAGAGCGCAAAGAGAATTTTTTCGCAGGAGCCTTTAACGCGGGCGTGCTCGTTCGAACGAAAAAAAAAAAAAAAAAAAAAAAGGATTGCTCGCCCTCAAAGGTATACATACTTTTGTCGAATGAAAACTATTTACGCGCACCGCGGACGGCTGTTCCATATATTGTACACCTGCAGGCTGCTTTGAATGTTTTGAGGGTCAGGAGGAGAAGAAGATGGAAAAAAGGGCCTTTGCGAGGGAGTTCAAAGAGTCCGCGTGCTTACGCTCGATTGAAACAGCGCTCGGATTTGCGTGCAGGCGAGACAGGGCTTTTCTCTAGTTTTTTTTTTTTTTTTTTTTTTTTTTTTTTTTTTTTTTTTTTTTTTTTTTTTTTTTCTTCACTTTTTCTTCCTTACTTTTTATGCCTGCGTATAGGTTTTGAGGGTAAGGACAGAGGGACGCTACTTTCCGTGCGATGAGGCGAGCGACAGGTGTGCGGGGAAACCTGTAAATGCGCGCCTTGGTCGGTCTTCTTTTTTTGGGGAGGGTGACACACGTGTGGGGGATTCGTGTTTTTGAAAACATTCATTAGTACATTGCGGGTGAACGGAGCACATGTGTGGATATCGTGGAAAAAAAGAAATAATGTGATAAAATTGATTCGAGAGCGATGTACAACGCATCTGACTGTACGAAATCTTTTGGGATGTTTTTTAAAGAAACTCTGCAAAACGGCAAACACATGCATTCTGGGTCTGGGATTACAGATCCCAAGTTTTTTCACATGTATGGATACATATGTCACAAATACACAGCCGTAAGGGGCTTTTGTATTGCGGTGCTCTCGGATTTTTATTTCGTGTTTTATTCGTCAAAGTCGTGAATAAAAACAATTACCATTATGAAGACTCATCGATTTGAAAGCCCCCGCAAAAGCAACCACGACAACTCCCCTTGCGGAACAAGTTCATTTATTTACGAGACAAGTTGCTATGGCGTCGTCTTTACGTATATTTTGTAAAGAGAGAGAGGAGAATATGGTTGAAAAAAAAAAAAGGTAAATTACCTGTTATATCGTGTGATTCACTGCAACTTTATATAAATGACCCTTGCGCCCCAACACACCCTACGGATCGATAACAAGAGGAGTAGGCAAATAATAGCAGCCCTTTAGTTTTTATACATATATACGCGCACGTGTGCATGTATAGCTTAGGTGAGTATACATATACACAGTGCGTATCCGCATATGTATACATGTTATAGGGTAAAGGGAGAGAGGGTGTTGGGTTTCCTCCCCGCCGTATAATATACATGCTTGACTACACGCGTGTAGGCACACCTTCTAAGCCTTCCTTCTTTTATTCGGGAATAAGGATGATGTTACAGAGATGGAAGAAGTGAGGCGTCGAGTGTGACTTTTGAAAGTCTTAGAGAATGCTGGAGTTGCTTTTTTGGTCTTTTTTTTCCATTTTTTTATTCGAAATTTACCTTTAACGAAACAATACGATAAATTTACAAGTTTGCCTTTATATCGTTTGAGCTAGATCAAGATGACAGACAAGAAGAGTAGTTTTGATGATGCCTGCCATTTATCTATGGTTTAGTCGTCAGGAATGTTTTCTAAACCCTGAAATAGTAATATGAGCTTTTACTAAGTTTTTAGTAAGTGTTTAGATTTCAACTTTGAATAATAAATTTTAGTATGAATCATTTCTATTATTAAAATCCATGTAAGTGCATGTACATTTTGTACATGATTTATATTGCTAAATGTCAATGGAATCTTTTAAAATATGGATTAAGTTTTTGATTGAACAATCGATTTGATAAAGACAATTATGATTTTTTTTTTTAAATCTTTTTCTGTAATAAAAAATGGTCAAGGGAGAATAAATATGTAGTAGGAATGACAAAAGTACTCACCGCTGATACCCAAGGTGAGCCAGAAATTCTGGCATCTCTTTCTAATACAAAGCTACGCTGCCAAATGTTACTCGTATCAAGGGCATAGGGCTGCAATAACAGATATAACATTGATTATTACAAATAGTTTTGACAAGTTGTTTTGATCGTTTAGTTAAAAAAGAAGCTTATAAGCAATGGTAAGATTATGTTGCATCAAATGCATATGTTATGATAAAGGTGACTCTGATGATTGAATACTGTCAGTAACTGAACATTAACAACAAATTAGTACATTGAATACATTGGCACAACAATAAACTTAACCTTAACGAGGTTACGTAAAAATATACGTCTCGGACTTACCCTACCGTGGAAGGCATTATGTATGACTACACTGCCTTTTTGGTACCACAAAATACAACCAAAGATGATGCCCATACAGGGCAAACACTCGTACCACATTGTTTTTGACAAAAAGTGACAAACTTTGAAGAGAGGAAATCAACACAATCGTTGCAGAAGACACGACTCTCTCGCGAGCAGCCGACACACTTGCCTGTCGCGCGATCTGATGGCACGCGCAGCTTTATTTCAGCGCCTAGATTTTTAAAATTAAATTTTGAAGGGCACAAGATGCGATTACTCAAGGGAAAAAAGCTCATCAGCTCGTAACTTTTAGAAAAAACTTTTATTGTCTCTCGGCAATAAATAATTATCAAGTGATGTTGTAAGATCTTGTGCAATGTATCTTTCAAGTACAAAACCATTTGTTAGGAAAAATTATTTGTCAATTGTAAAGATAAAAAATTTTTAGGTGTTGTATGTACCTACTTATGTATGTACAACGTTTAATATTATCTTTACCTTCGCATCTTCACGGGTGTGTAAGTATTAACCTTTTAGAACTGTCGACAACAGTTTCACTATTGTTCTCTCGATTAGTATAAGCCATACGATATTGCGTCTACAAACAATCAATTGTTTTTTAGAGTGAGCTCAACAATACACAAATCCGTGAATAAATGTCGCTGGTGGAATATAATATACTGCGCCAATCCCGAATCCTAGATCCCGGATCCCGGCATTCCCGGCCGAGAGATAAATGCCGTCAGCACCATCTAGCGCTGCTAAAGTCGAACTAAAAAGTACCCTCACATAAGGGTGTATTAAGGGTAATAATTATATAGGGCATGAGGGACATAAATAAGGGGATAGTGTCAACCGACCCGAAAGCGTCAAGTGACCCGAGACTGCGCAGTACGCATCTGGGACCCGAGTATGCGCAGTCCTCAGCGGGCAGTTCAAAAATCCCAAAGTGCGCTATACGCCCAAATCCACAAAAACCCAACAACTTTAACCAAATAACCCAGGGGACTTATAGATTATGAATTGCAAGTTATTCATTGAAATAAATAATTATTCATTGAAAAATAATAGAAAGCCAGATATAAATATCCAGCAAAAACATAAATCCCAACAGACCGTAACCAGATAACCCGGGGGACAGGTAATTAATATCAGGAATCGAATAATAATTATAAAAGATGAAAAGATGAATGAATTAATAAACGAATGATGAAATTTTAATAAATTCAATACGTATACATTTCACGAAGCGACATATGTATACGTATACGGCTATGTAGGCAAGGGCGGAGTAAATACGTATACTCGTGCTCCCTCGAATTTTGAATTGTACTATTTTCTTCCCACGTTAATGCTGCTGTTTTTTACTGTTTGTACTAAAATAATAGAAAAAGTAGATTGTTCATGATATTATCGTCATGCACCACATAATACCGTAAGCTCAAATATTTAATACAAACTATGGCTCTCTATCATGAACATGTACAAGTTTTAACCGTTCCTGGACATATGTCCTCGTAGCGCAGTTGGCTCATTGATACTTATGTTTTTTTGAACATGAGAACGAGAGTTCGAATCCCACGCCTAAGCGATAATTTTTTTTTTCTTTTTTTTTCAGTGGCGTTTTTGTAATTACACTTAACTTACGTATTTAACATCTTAATTAGGTAAGTACAATTTTTCAACAACAAAAAAAAAATTATATTCAGCTCATGCATGAAATAATTAATACAGGAAATCGAATAGTTATTTGTCTAATGTATAAAAAAAATTAATTTTGAGCTTTCTTTACCTTATTAATAATGTTTCGATATTATAAGACTGTCAATGTTTAAAACGAGCTTTTTTGACATTTTTACGGTGACAAAAAAATACTTTATTACGACTGTGTACTATATGTTAATGTAACTTTATTGATTTTTTTTTTATAAAGGATGAACGAATAAATAAATGTATGATAAAATTTTAATAAATAACGAAATCTTACAATACCGACTCTTCCTTTTCATAAATACATGCACGATTATCGAAATAAATAAATAAACAAGACAATGTTTGCTAACTTTACAGAATTTTTAACACATATGGTGTATTCAACACTTTTTCGAAGGAAAACTATGTAATGTAATATTATTTAGGTAGGATTAAAACAAATTTTACTGCAGCTTACTTATAGTTATTGAAATGGTTTGAACAGTGGCCCCAATACATGCCATCCAGAATCTGATTGTCGAAAAACTAATCCATCAACAAGCTTCCCCTCATGTTCCAGTAAGAAAGGCGATTCCACCACCTCATTATTCTCAGCATTTTCTAACAAATTTAAAAACTCCTGGAGATTCTCCTTAGACGCTTCATCAGTTGATTGTTGCATTGTATTATCTTTTTCAGCTACTTGTTCATACTCATGCTGCGATAACACAGGTTCTTGTTGTTGCTGTTGTTTCACAAGGTCAGCCTTTTTTGTAGCACTGCAAAGTTTTTTCGCTGCGTTCTCCATTGGCTCATCATCTTCGGGCTGATCCATCACGTAACACGCGAAATGGTCTGAAACATTTTTATTATGATAAAAAATCTATTAAACACTAATTGCAATAGTGGGACATTTAAGTATTGACATAAAGTTACACAAGTCAATATCTGTGTTTATTCGTGAATATTTTTCGGTGTACTGCGTTTAAATTGAGCTAGTGATACTTTCTTGATAAATTCATAATGGATTCAACGTATGGTAAAATCAAGTGAAGCTTATGGATTGTATTTGCTTGGAAAATAGCCAAAAAAATTAACGAATATGCATATACACTTTTTAACCTGCTTTTTTTGCATCGAACAACGTGATTGGTGCACGAATGGGACGTTAAAATAGTTTTTTTGGTAATAAATGAACAGTACATTAATAATTACAATTCATCACGAATTTCTATCAAGCAAAGCCTAATACGTAACATTATTTAGCAACCTCATGTAGCATTTTTTAGAGGCAAACGCCCTTTTTCTTAAGGTGAATTAGAGAGAAAAAAATGTACTTGACAAACAAAAAAAAACCAATACACCCTAATGTCTTCGCTTATGAAAGTGTGGTGTTTACCTTCACTTGTGATAATCGCCATTTCCTCCAAGAATTTTTTAACATCCCAGGTTTTGTTTTCAAGATTATTCCATGCAGTGTCAATCGCCTTGTTTCGATCCTTATTTCGCTTGCTTATTTCTGAAAACTCTTCCATCTCGAAATAAGTTACCTGTTTGAGAGTGTGCTTGGACTTTCGTATAACTTGGAGAATTCCCCCTATTTTATAGAAAAAAAAAAAATAAAAANTTTTTATTTTTTTTTTTTCTATAAAATAGGGGGAATTCTCCAAGTTATACGAAAGTCCAAGCACACTCTCAAACAGGTAACTTATTTCGAGATGGAAGAGTTTTCAGAAATAAGCAAGCGAAATAAGGATCGAAACAAGGCGATTGACACTGCATGGAATAATCTTGAAAACAAAACCTGGGATGTTAAAAAATTCTTGGAGGAAATGGCGATTATCACAAGTGAAGGTAAACACCACACTTTCATAAGCGAAGACATTAGGGTGTATTGGTTTTTTTTTGTTTGTCAAGTACATTTTTTTCTCTCTAATTCACCTTAAGAAAAAGGGCGTTTGCCTCTAAAAAATGCTACATGAGGTTGCTAAATAATGTTACGTATTAGGCTTTGCTTGATAGAAATTCGTGATGAATTGTAATTATTAATGTACTGTTCATTTATTACCAAAAAAACTATTTTAACGTCCCATTCGTGCACCAATCACGTTGTTCGATGCAAAAAAAGCAGGTTAAAAAGTGTATATGCATATTCGTTAATTTTTTTGGCTATTTTCCAAGCAAATACAATCCATAAGCTTCACTTGATTTTACCATACGTTGAATCCATTATGAATTTATCAAGAAAGTATCACTAGCTCAATTTAAACGCAGTACACCGAAAAATATTCACGAATAAACACAGATATTGACTTGTGTAACTTTATGTCAATACTTAAATGTCCCACTATTGCAATTAGTGTTTAATAGATTTTTTATCATAATAAAAATGTTTCAGACCATTTCGCGTGTTACGTGATGGATCAGCCCGAAGATGATGAGCCAATGGAGAACGCAGCGAAAAAACTTTGCAGTGCTACAAAAAAGGCTGACCTTGTGAAACAACAGCAACAACAAGAACCTGTGTTATCGCAGCATGAGTATGAACAAGTAGCTGAAAAAGATAATACAATGCAACAATCAACTGATGAAGCGTCTAAGGAGAATCTCCAGGAGTTTTTAAATTTGTTAGAAAATGCTGAGAATAATGAGGTGGTGGAATCGCCTTTCTTACTGGAACATGAGGGGAAGCTTGTTGATGGATTAGTTTTTCGACAATCAGATTCTGGATGGCATGTATTGGGGCCACTGTTCAAACCATTTCAATAACTATAAGTAAGCTGCAGTAAAATTTGTTTTAATCCTACCTAAATAATATTACATTACATAGTTTTCCTTCGAAAAAGTGTTGAATACACCATATGTGTTAAAAATTCTGTAAAGTTAGCAAACATTGTCTTGTTTATTTATTTATTTCGATAATCGTGCATGTATTTATGAAAAGGAAGAGTCGGTATTGTAAGATTTCGTTATTTATTAAAATTTTATCATACATTTATTTATTCGTTCATCCTTTATAAAAAAAAAATCAATAAAGTTACATTAACATATAGTACACAGTCGTAATAAAGTATTTTTTTGTCACCGTAAAAATGTCAAAAAAGCTCGTTTTAAACATTGACAGTCTTATAATATCGAAACATTATTAATAAGGTAAAGAAAGCTCAAAATTAATTTTTTTTATACATTAGACAAATAACTATTCGATTTCCTGTATTAATTATTTCATGCATGAGCTGAATATAATTTTTTTTTTGTTGTTGAAAAATTGTACTTACCTAATTAAGATGTTAAATACGTAAGTTAAGTGTAATTACAAAAACGCCACTGAAAAAAAAAGAAAAAAAAAATTATCGCTTAGGCGTGGGATTCGAACTCTCGTTCTCATGTTCAAAAAAACATAAGTATCAATGAGCCAACTGCGCTACGAGGACATATGTCCAGGAACGGTTAAAACTTGTACATGTTCATGATAGAGAGCCATAGTTTGTATTAAATATTTGAGCTTACGGTATTATGTGGTGCATGACGATAATATCATGAACAATCTACTTTTTCTATTATTTTAGTACAAACAGTAAAAAACAGCAGCATTAACGTGGGAAGAAAATAGTACAATTCAAAATTCGAGGGAGCACGAGTATACGTATTTACTCCGCCCTTGCCTACATAGCCGTATACGTATACATATGTCGCTTCGTGAAATGTATACGTATTGAATTTATTAAAATTTCATCATTCGTTTATTAATTCATTCATCTTTTCATCTTTTATAATTATTATTCGATTCCTGATATTAATTACCTGTCCCCCGGGTTATCTGGTTACGGTCTGTTGGGATTTATGTTTTTGCTGGATATTTATATCTGGCTTTCTATTATTTTTCAATGAATAATTATTTATTTCAATGAATAACTTGCAATTCATAATCTATAAGTCCCCTGGGTTATTTGGTTAAAGTTGTTGGGTTTTTGTGGATTTGGGCGTATAGCGCACTTTGGGATTTTTGAACTGCCCGCTGAGGACTGCGCATGCTCGGGTCCCAGATGCGCACTGCGCAGTCTCGGGTCACTTGACGCTTTCGGGTCGGTTGACACTATCCCTAAATAAGGGTGCTTTTTAGTTCGAATTTAGTCACGCTAGCTGGCGCTGAATGTCTGCTGAATCAATTATAATTAAAAATTGATAAATGCGATGAAGCGCGAGCCGATCGTTCAGGTGTTACGTGTTGCATCTTTTTTTTTGTTTTTCGCTCTGTCGCAGTTAAAAACAAATGCGCGCACCACTCGAGTGCGTTTTCTTTCAACTTTCAGAGGCAAATCGTAAAAATAATAGAATGCGTGGAGTGAGCAGCGAAGAAATTACACATTGTCGGCAGCGATTTCAGCGAACGCTTATCAGTTAAGGAGGAAAAACAACAAAATTGAGACACCGGCCGAATAAATAAGTATATTAACAAACAAGAGAAGGTCAGCTTTCCCTACTTTGAGAAAAAAAAAATATATATATATGAAGCTCATTTTAATAGGACTATCTTTCGAGTGAGCCGGTGAGCTGTTTTGAGTGTTTATTTTTTTTTATTGATGAATGAAGTAAATTAATAATAAATTTATTCCTCACTAATTTGACGACAAAATGTTTTTACCCACATAATTTATACCGCGAAAGTGCGATTGAAAAAAAACAACAAAAAACAAAAACAAAATAATACCTTGAGTTAATGTTGAATGACTGACTCAGTACTGATCTTTACAGTTGGTGCAGTCAGTCAGCCTTCATCAACATGGTTAGTAGTAAATTTAAATTCCAAACACCCTTGTAAATTTTTGCTTACAAAATAATGCTCTGAAAAGCTTGTTAAAAATATATTTTTGTATTGTATGGTTTCAATCAAGATCATCTTTAAAAATGTTTTCTATCATTAATTAACTATATTGAGTTTGCAGGTCAAACATTTTCAAACACCTAAAATGCTACTACGATTATATTCCTTAATCGTACTAGGATTAGATTTAACCACACTATTGTTTGGCATCTCGTTAGCAATAATCATGGCCTTGTACAGAACATTCAGACCACCATCCTTGAAAAATATTCATGGAGAGGTAGCAATGGTCATCGGAGCTGGAAGAGGAGTCGGCAAAGAAACAGCTCTTCTTCTTGCTCAGCTTGGAGTCAACGTGGCCTGTGTGGATATTGATTCAGAAAGCTGTCAGGCCACTGCTAACAGAGCCTTACAGTTATCTGGCACAGCTAAGGCGTTCACCTGTGATGTAACCAATAAAAAACAAGTGTGTGATACAGTACAAAACATTAAAATGGAATTTGGAGACATTACTATGTTGTTTCACTGCTGTGGTGTACCAAGTCCCAGAGCTTTAACTGAAAACCCAGTTGAAATACGAAAAACTATGGACGTTTCCGTCATCAGCCACTTTTTGGTAAACAGAGTAAAAAAGATGAAAACAAAAAAAAATGACTTATAAGAATCAAAGAAACGACTAACATTTCGAAAAAAAAAAAATATTTAGCTTCTTGATGCAGTTCTCCCAGGAATGCAGTGTATGAACAAAGGTCATATTATCATTTTATCTTCAGTAGCCGGTTTATCTGGAGGTATCAGCCGTGGGTCGCGAATCCCACTGTCAACGGCACAATTCGCTCTTCAGGGCTTTGCGGAATCCTTGCAGACGGAGCTCAGACACTCCAACAGTAACATCATCATAACGCTCGTTCATATTTATCCTTTCATTGTTAGCGCGGAAGCTGCTAAGGATATTCAATTCAGGTGGTTCAGAAACTCTGCGTCAATTGTTGAGTGATTTAGTTTTTTTTTAACAGTAGGCTTTTTTTCCCATACACAGAATACCGAGTTATTTTGGGACTATGCCGGCGACGGAAGTTGCAAAGCGAATTTTAGACGGAGTACGAAGAAATTACGCAGAGTTCAGCGTGCCCGGTTATCTTTTGTACTTGGGACATGTTTTGAGGTAAAAATTTTGATAAACGAGAAAGTGCTATGATTTAATAGTTCTTCATTGTACCATAAATTAACATTAACTTTTTTCATATTTACAAATAAACAATTTTTTTCTACATCATTCAGATAGTGTAAAAAAGTGTGGGTTTTGTTTTTCAGAATACTGCCAAAAAAAGCATCGTTCATGCTAAGAGATTTACTGGACACCGGAGTTGACTTTGCATAGTTTGGAAAAATAAAAATTAATTTTGATACTCGTGAATATTTCAATTTTTATAATAAATATTTTAAAAATTCAAATTATTCTTTGAATTTTATTCAATTTTTCCGCCTATTCCCTTATATTAATCGACTCATCTCTCAATTATACAATTCATCATCCACATGGTACAAAATCAACAAGATGATTAAAATATACAGCTCTTAGTTCGTTCATTCTTCACACTACAGAAAATCAAAATAAAAGACGATTGACTCGTTCTAAGAAATAAAAATTCAATAAACCTCCATCCAGGCATAATAAAATTTATGCATTTAATGGTAAAAAAGGCAATCAATCCAAACCAGGCGGTGCTGGTTCGAGATTATCCATTTCGGTTGTATCTCGACGTTCTGAAAAATCTCCAGGGGGAGCCTGAAAACATAAAAAAACAATCATCAGGTCGATTAAATAATAAATTTCCAGCGACAGCATAGCACAAAGAAAAAACATCGACTTACAATATCAAAATCGTCGTGTACTACGGCCGGTGGTTTTCCCTTAATCACATCCATGATTGATTGTGGAACGTGCGCCTTTTGATTTTCAGCCAAAGACTCAACATGAGCCACTAGAGGACCCTTGAGATTCGGGGCCATCTTCAGCGCATCAATAAGCTGCGTCGGAGGCAGTTGCAGTATAACAGCGAAACTTTGGGGCTGAGTGCGCTCGCAGCACTTGACGAAGCCTTCCCAGACCTTGGGCTGCTTCCAAACCTGCTTGAGTATCAGCCGCTGTAGTACGTTCATCACGAAGCCACTGAGACGCGGATAAAGTCCCAGACTCTGTATCACAGTGCGCATCAGTAAAGTGGGCAACGGAGTCATGTCCATGAGTTGTTGCATCACAACCGCTACAATTTCCTGCGTGAAAACTTGCTTCTCCGCAAAACACAGCGACGTGGCTTTAATGACAGTCTTGAGCTCAGCTTTGCTCGGCTCGATCGTGTGCAAAGCAATCATCAATTCGGCAGGAGTGACGGGCGACGTGTGCGGCACTCCACTATCGTTGTTGTAGGTGCCCAACAATCTGTTGAACACTTCCTTGACGACGACGGGATTGAGCTTGATGAGCTTGGGCAGAGCTGCAAGGACTTCCTTCTTTGTCAAACCGTTGAGCACGGGAATCAAGAACCGGACGTCGGAGACACGTGTCTGGTATAGTTCTCGAACTTTGGTGACTAGTTCAGCACTTGGAGGAGCTTTTTCCGTGAGAATGTGAACGATTCTGGTAACTAGAGTTTCAGCGCCCTTGGGACAGTTTTCTATAAGGTCGAGCAGCTGTGGACTGGCCATGCCCAGCGACTTGACCGGTCCTTCGACCAGTCGAAGAACGATGCGTTTCACATCGGCGCTCATGGACGTGTAGATACGAGCGAGTTCATGGATGAGGTTCTGGTGTTCGGTGAGCAGAGCTAGATACAGACTGAGACAGGCGCGAGTGGTCGATTCCGTCCAGTTTTCCTCGATATGCAGTCGGCCACGGTCCTGACCAAACAGAATTTCCGGTGGACTAGGCAGACGCAAGAAACCCAAGTAAAGCTCCGCGTACTCTTCGATCATTTTACTTAGGTCCGGGCGACTGTAGAGCTGTACGACGAGTTGAATAGCATTTTCCCGAATCTGCAAATAAAAGAAAAAGATGATTTTCGATTCACGAATAACTTACATTTATTAAAATCATTTTCATGATATTAAAAGCAGACACCATATTTTTCTCATGACCCGTGTGGCACAGCAGCACGTTGAGTAGCGTAAGCTGCTTGGTTGGTCTTCTGATAACAAGATCCTTCAGCAACTGCAACGGTGCCAAGCCTCTCGTTTCGTCGGACGATATGCTCTTGAGCGCTTCGACCGCATCTTCGGTAATGAGAGGTGCCTCCAGATAAAGCTTCGTTAGCTGGGTGTCTCTGTCTTTGCCAGGAATAGCGTCGATAGCGTTTACTAGCGTACAAAACAAAGAGTTGTATGCCGTGTGCGGCGCCTCCTGGGGCGTCGTGTTAAGTATTGTCCTTCTCTGGAAGCCTTGGAGCAGCGCATACTCCTCGTACAGCCAGCTGAGCGCCAAGTCCATCCGCGTGCGCATGTCCTCCGTTATGTGACGTAGAATGGAGGCTTTAACTTCGGGGTTGAATGTAGCTGCTAGAGTCGTAAGGACTTTGTTACGAGTCTTGGTGACACCCCCGATTCTCGTGCTCTTTTCGCTCGCCAGCATGCGCCTAACGCACATGAGTAGCATGCGATCGCGCGTGTCTTTGAGCAGAGGCTTGGTTACTTCCGCAAGTTTAAGGGACTTGACGCGCGTTCGCGTGGCTGCCTTGGCCTTTTCGTGCGCCTCCAGGGAAGCTTTGGCCAGCTGCTCTTTTTCTCGGTCCTTCTCGCGCTTGCGTTCACGTTTCACCTCGGCTACGGTGATGGTGGGATTTTTTATCAAGTCTTCCATCACCATGTCAAGCTTGTCTTCCTTGGAGCTGGTCTTTGTTTTTTTCTCCCTGGCTTGTTTTATTTGAGCTGCGAGGAGTTTGCCAATGACCATGCGCTGCGTGTTGAGGTCGGTCGTGGCGGTTGGTTGGTACTCTCTTTGGAAAACGGACGTCATTATGTCGGGCACCCATACCTGAAACACGTTATAACGAAGAAACATTCACATGAAGAGTTTTATTAACAGTTTTGAGAAGTAAAAAATAATATTTCCTCACCATACTATCCATGACCAACTCTGTAGCTATTTCGACGCTGAGTCTCTCTGTTATGAACGTCTCTGATAGCTCGATCAATTCTGGCGGCATTATTGGGGCTGGAACCGGCAAAGGTTCTGGCTCAACATTGTCCATAGGTATTACAGGAGTCTCAACCCTTGCCTTTTTCGCTGCAACGGCAGCTGCTGTTTCCTGCTGCCGTTTTTTGACTCGTTTGATGTCCTCTGGCTTGGGGAAGGATTTGAGAATCTCGCTGTCTTTGCATCCAAGCTGGGTGAGCTGCCTCGCGATCGATTGTGCAAATTCTATGCTGGCAGGATGCTTCAAAAGACCAAACCAAGTGAGCTTCAACTGTTTTTGTACACTTGTCACTTGAGAGTCGGATAACGTTGGTGGCAAATCACTTTGTACTCGTTGTATTGCTTGTATCACAGCTGGCATAAACTGTGGCCTAAATTTGGCAATGTAAGATAAGGATCCCAAGCAGGTGATGAGATTGACGCTGCTGACGTGGGCCGATCCAAAGAATTTGATCAACAGGTCCATTACATGATTTGCCTCTTCTTCTAACTTTCTTCTGCGCGCAATTTTTAAGGTAAGAGGCACATCTTCCAAGGAAAAATCTTCAGGCTTCTTTGGTGAGTCAGGGTCTGGGTACGACTGGATCAGGACAACACCTTCCAAGAACTTTAACGCCTGCGTTCTTATACTACAAACCAAATAAAATATTAACTGCGGTTCTCAAGAAAACCGGTTTTTAGAGGTTTGATGGTGAAATAACTCACCCATCATTGTCACTATCTATCATTCCAATGATCTGAATCTTCAAGTTGCTAATCTGAGCCCAGGCAGTTTCCATATCTTGGGAAACAACAGGTGCACTTGCTGCCCACTTTAAGGTAGCCCTAAAAATTTTCCCACTTGTTCTCAATGCTCTCTTGGCAACAACTGGTGCTGGATCAGTCACTAATCTAATTAGAATGAGCAGAAGCCTGGGAATGTAATCAGGTACTATTTCTCTGAAAAAAAAAAAACACAACATCAATTCATACTTGAAAAGTGCAATAGTTGTATAGAGCACAACTTACCCAGCTTCTTCAATAAAGCCAGCTAGAGTTTTCCTAACATCTGCATTTCTGTCAAGGGCAAATTGTAATATAGAGTCTAAGTAAGTGCCAAGCAATGAAGGTTCCTTATGCAGAGTGATCTCCTGTATTTTACAAATGTTTTGCACTTTGATATTTTCATTTGGGCTCATCGATGCTTCGTTGAGCCATTCCACAATCTATGAGGTACAAAAAATAACGATGACAACAAAATTAACGAATGTACTTAGAGATCCCACAAGATAGGTAAAAAAACACTCCAAACAAAACCATAAACGACTATAAGCTACATATTTTAATTGAAAAAAACCCTAGTTTGTGTAAATGTATGACATTGAGGTTATGCAGTGCTCACCATATCTGCGGAGCTTTTATCCGCTTCCTGGCGTCTATGAATTCTCGGATCCATTTTTTTGTTCGTTGCTTTACAAAATTACAAACTAAAAACTACCTAATACACCCTTCCATCAAAGAAAAATGATGATGAAGGTCAGCTACTGTGTAGCGTCTGCTTAGCGGCGTCAGATTAAAAATAAAAAAGGGACGGTTCGAGGGACGAAAGAGAGTATCATTTTTTTATCGCTGTGTCTATTCGCACCAAATCCACGTAATTACGTGGATATAAGGTTAGGAATTTTAAAGAAAAACGCTACTTTTTCAAATGAAGTATGTCCACGTAAAGGGAATTTTCTGTATTCCTGCTAGAAAACAAAAATCGGCAATTACGTTAAGAATTAATGTGCACACACACTAGTGCGGGACAACAAGCGAACCTATAACCTATAACTTTAATACATTCATTTGCGATCTCAAAGTATACAAATATATATGCTGTATATTTAGTTTTTGTTTATAACCTTCCTAACCTTACCTATGTGCGTACCCAAAAATCCATTTTTGCATCTGCCATGGCAGAATCGGGCTGACGCAAACTATTTTCTAGGGGAACCGTCTTGAAAAAAACCCTAGATTCTAGAGATTTCCGGAAGCAGTAAATGACTAGATATATGTAGATATACTAAAGTAGGTCGAAACTCGTAGACGCAATTAAGGGTCTATATTATATTAGCGGTGATCTGATTTTGTCATGCTAGTAAAGAGAGCACGTTGTAAGATATATGTACAGTTATGTGCAGTAATTATATTAATCACTTATTAATCACTACTAGTAATAAGTATTAGTGCCATATGGTCGATTTTATTAAACCATATAAGTAGAATATCAATACTTTAGAGGTCGATTTTCGGATAAACAATAAATTGTAAACTTGCCGCAAATAGCACAAAAAATGTTAATTTATTATTTTATATTTATCAAATTAGTTGCGGCTGGTTTATTATATGGCTCTATTGCAAGTTGTAATGATTATTTTGATCAGCGCCATCTAGCGGTTTTCATTTTTTCGCCAAAAGTGGCCTCTAAAATTCTGAAACCGAGCATTAGGGCTTAGAGCCATTTAGTCAATTATAAACCAGCCGCAACTCATTTTGAAGCTATAAAATGAAAAAATAACGATACACTTGTTTTTGGCGGCAAGTTAACAATTTTTTTTTACCAAAAAATTGATCTTCTATGTATTTAAACTTTTGAAGATAAATTTTCGAGTAAAAGATAGATTGTTAACATGCCGCCAAAAACACATATATCGTTATTTTTTTATTTTATAGCTGTAAGATGAGTTGCGGCTGGTTTATAATAGGCTAAGTGGCTCCAAGCGCTAAAGCTCTGGTTCAAAAGTTTAGGGCCACTTTTTAGTTCAGAAATCCGCAACGCTAGATGGCGCTGATCCAAATAGTTATTATTACTACTTACCGTAGAGCTATTTAATCAATTATAAACCAGCCGCAACTAATTTGATAGATAGACAAAAAAAAGGTTACATTTTTTGCGCTACTTGTGGCAAGTTTACAATTTATCTTTTATCCGAAAATCGACCTCCAAAAGTACAAATATTCTACTTACATTAAAAGGCTTAGATAAGGTACTATGATTACTACACATAACTTTAGGTATATATCTTACATCGTGCTCTCATTACCACAATGATGAAATCAGTAGGCCAAAAATCGCAGACGTAAAGGATCCATTTGCGTGCTTCGAAATACGCAATTCGGCTCGAGATTGATGGTCACATGCATAATAAAAATACTAAAATTTGCCATAAATATAACAATTGTCACCCACGCATGCCTCGGTTTGGTTATATTGCGTATATCGAAAGCACGCAAATAGACCCCATCAGTGGCCTCGTCGTCGGTAAAGCGTCGGCACAGTGAGTCGGTCAACTGTCGATACAGCAGGGCCGACATTATCGTTGATGTACCGACGGTTGGCTGACTTGGTCGAACTGCAGGTCTCCCTTTTATCTTGTGTCAACTGTCGGCACAGCAGGATTTGCAACGCTAGATGGCGCTACACCCAAATGCAATTTCGATCGACGACCGACGAGCTTCGGGACCTTTGGGGGTCTATTAATTCGCGTGCTTCGATATACGCAATATAACCAAAGCGAGGCATGCGTGGGTGACAATTGTTACATTTTTGGTAAATTTTAGTATTTTTATTATGCATGTGACCATCAATCTCGAGCCGAATTGCGTATTTCGAAGCACGCAAATAGACCCTTCACGTCTGAGATTTTCGACCTACCATAGTATATCTATATATATGTCTAGTGATTTACTTCTTCTAGAAATCCCTAGAATCTAGGGACTTTTTCAAGACGGTTCCCCTAGAAAATAGTTTGCGTCAACCCGCAAAATCCACAACACTAGATGGCGCTGATACACTCAAAATAATTTTCAAGTAAATTTCTAGGAGTTGAGCGTATATATAGGGTCTACCGGAGCCGCTCCAATAGACCCTCCGCTGTGGACACTAGCCTAGTAAGTTTTCCTAGTGAATTTCTCTCAGAAGTAAGTACCGCGTAAAAAAGCTTTGTGGGAGCAGTGGGAGTTGGGAGTTTGAATTGTCATTGAGCGAACAGTGATATGTCGTGGTGGAGTATTCATTGTTGAAACAATGGTTGCAATAATTAAAACAAAAAATCAAAGTGTAAAGCTTGATACATTTTCGTGCAGTGCAAATGGTAAAATCCTCCCAAGTGTTTGATCAAGACAGACTTTACAGACATGCATCACACGAATCTATCTAAAACTGCGCAAAAATAAGTTTTATCTTATCGCTACAAATTTTCCCAAACGAAGTTCATAGAATCGGTGTCGACACGAAAACAGTATTGATAGTCAACAATCTCATCATAACATGAGATTAAAACAAAAAAAGAAAAAAAATGTATTCGTTGCGTAAGTTGGAAATTGAGACAAAACCATTCGTATAAAATACACTGTCAGTGTATTTTATGCTACCGATCTGTATGTCAGTTCAGAAACAGCGAAGATTTTCTCGTGAAACATTATAAAAAACACATGAACATAATGAAGCTCAACGTTGTTATTTTTCTTGTAATCGTCGCATTAGCCGTTGGAATTACAGCCAGACCTCGTACTCACGCTGGGCATCATCTTCATCCTATGGTAGTAATCCTAGCGAATGATAATAATAATAATAATAATAATAATAATAATAATATCTACTTGATAATCACCTTATTATATTCAGAAAATAAATCATCATCATCCGATCCGATCGCGAGCCATACAAAAGAATCTCGAGCACAAACCAACACCTAATCCTTACCGAGTAAGCTCATTATTTTGTATTATTTTTTATATAATATAATATTGACCGATTTTTTAATTGTCTCTTGTTAAAAAACAGCGCTTTTCACGTGATGTTGAAACTAAAACTACAGATGCTCCAAATTTAATTCATGTGCCACTGGGACCAAATAGGTGTCAGAAGAAACATGAAGAAGTTCGAGTGCACTCGAATCCAATACGAGTGGTATCCGTGAATCATCGCAATTAAAATGTAATTGAAGGTTATGTGTCACTTTGATCATCAATAAAAGCCCATGTGATCGAGAAATCAATTTACTTTCGTGCATTATTTTTTGTCTTTTTAAGAGAAAAAATTTGGGTTATTCTGTAGAATATGAAAATCGTAAGATTTTGCAAAATATTTAACAATCAACACCTTAGCTAAAGCCTGAATAAATTTATATAATATCAATTATTTAAATATATATGTGAGCCACATGATGGCTCTGTCGGTAGCGTGTCTGCCTACAGATCTTGATGGCCGGGGTTCAAATCCCACTCTGGACAAAAATTTCATCATTGAATGAGGTTTTTTTCTGGATGGGAGTTGTACTTCAATAAACCTACCGATCCATCTACCGTTTCCTCCTACTGTTATTAAAACCCAACGTATGGCTAAATACACTTTATGGTGTCAAAATAGCCATGTCTGAGCCCTTAAGGGGCGATGATGAATATATAAAAAAAAAAAAAAAAATATATATGTAATATGAGTAAAACTGGCTGCCTGCAGCAGTGTTTTTATGACACAGCCGCACGCAAATATTATACTTATATACTTACATTACATTATCTGTGTATCAGCACTCCATATCTCTCACTCCAACAAAGAGAGAAACGTCAATGATAATTGTCAGTTTTTTTTCGGTCAGTCATGCACAGCTTGTAGTCAAGTGTAGTTGCTGTGGTTTTTCTTTTTTTCCTCCACTTCCAATTTGTTTTATTATTATACATTTTTTTAGTTAAAAAAATAATTGAGGTTGAGGTTATGAGTTAAAAAAAAATGATTTCAACTTTTTATGAAAGAATCGTGGGCACTTCACCACCACCTGAACAAATCGTTCCTAAAATTTTGTGTGTTGGATTAAGCTGTGTTGATATTGTACAGCTTTGTAAAAGTTATCCTCAAGAGGATACTGATCAAAGGTGAGTTGACATTCTGATATGATGTTATTTGATTGTAAACAACTTTTCTTTTTTTTTTTTAATTTTTTAGTAGCCTTAGGAAGTTGTTTCTCTTATCCGCGCAAAGTATTTTATAGTCTTTGTTAATTTACAGCTGTATAGACTTTAGGTATCAAAGAGGTGGCAATGCAAGCAATAATTGTACAGTGATATCCCAATTAGACTACCCATGTGAATTTTTGGGTATCCTCAGTAAAGAGCAATTTTCAAAGTTCCTTCAAGATGATATGAAAAAATTAAAAATAGACTTTTCACATTGTCCTATACTCGAAGATGGAGGGTGTCCAACTTCTGTTGTCCTTTTAAGTATGAGTACTGGCTCACGTACCATTATACACCATAAACAGAATGAGACTGAAATAACATTGAAAGATTTGGAAAAGCTTAGTTTGGAAGATTACACTTGGATACACTTTGAGGTATGCCACATGAATTAAATTAAATTTCTTATTAGTCATGACAATGTATGCCTTTAGGGTAGAAGGAACGTATCCGACATCATACAAATGATGCAACACATTGAAAATTACAATAATGCATTAATTCAAATGCAAAGTGTAAATGGTGACAAGTCTACACATCTTCCGATAACTGTTAGCGTGGAATTAGAAAAAACCAGACCTGAACTGCTTGATCTGCTGCCTTATGCAGATGTAGCATTCGTGTCTAAAGATTTTTCTCAAAGTAGAGGCTACACGAACATGAGAGAAACATTAAATAATTTTAGCCAAGAGTCTAAAACAGGGTAAGTTTAATAACTGAATGAATTACCAAATGTACTGTAACGGTCTTTATTTTTACAACAACTGAGTAAAATATTACAAGCATTTAAAAAAAAATTATTTTATGAAATGGAATAATATTTTCATTTCAGAGCAACAATATTCAGCGCCTGGGCAGATCGTGGAGCAATGGCCCGAGCACCTGACGGCACAATCGTACAATCTCCAGCTTTTCCTCCTTACAAAATCATTGATACCCTCGGTGCTGGTGATACCTTCAACGCCGCTGTTATTTACTATTTGAACAAAGAAAAAATATCCTTTCATAGGGATAGAAATCCCGACGACCAATCTCTAAAAGTTGAAGTTTCGCGTAATTTCAACATTGAGAGTTCCGAGAGGTGTCAGACAGAGTTTATAAACCGAGACGTACTCCAGAGTGCCGTTGTCTTTGGCTGTCGACTGGCAGGCGCCAAGATAGGCTTAAGAGGCTTTGATGGCTTGAGTAAAGTATACAAGAATTATTTGTCATGAGCTGTTATTTATTAGTTATTTATTATTCGTTGTCCTTTTTTTTGTGAATGTGTATTTTTGTACAGAAAAGTCTTTAAATATGACGAAAAAGCAATTATTTTTAGTCAGATTATTACGTGATTGTCGATCTTCCGCTCGTTACTTGCATGTGCACCAATAGTTCAAAATATCGAAAGAAAAAAAAATCAAATCGTACTAAAAATTCAAAAAATACGATGATATGCACACATTTGTACTGTCATCTCATTCAATGAGAACTTTTGGGAAAAAAAAATTTCGCATATTATTTGTAAAAATCTCGTATATACATGTACAAAATTAAATCTTACACAATTATCTACAACTATTGAAAGTAAATCACATAAAGTATACATATTGACTGAAAAGTGCGCTCGAATTATTATAATCTGTTAAACAAGACACACATTTCATCTTTTTAATCCCTCATGGGACGTTTTGTCGTGATATGATTCACAAAACATTTAAACGCCTCATCACTAACAAGAACCCCTAATCAATACAAAAATGTCTAGTCTAAGATAAGACTTTAACCCATTATCTCCGAACTTAATAAAAACAAAAAACATACCAAACGAGTCAATAGCCCTTAAAAAAATAAATTTTACACTTCAATAATAATAATATTAATAATATTAGTCGTGTGTAGACAACACACTCAAAGTTAAAAAAGTTATTTTTGAGAATAAAATAAAAATGATCCTAAGGCTGTGAGAAAACGTTACGTATCAGTCTTGAATAGGCTCTCAAGTGCGCTGCCGAGTGATGTAAGAAATAAAACAACAGTTAGCAGTCAGCAGCGACCCCGCTGTCCAAAAAATCTTTGATCGCTCGTGGTGCTTTGACGGGCAGGCATCTAGTGAAAATTAAAATTTTATTAGATAAAAAAATGATATACTTTAAATCACTTAATCGATCATGGAATAATACTAACCTTAAGAAATAATTGACGCTGAGCCAGTGACTAGGAATCGACAGCTCGTCGACGTTCCTGCGTTGAGCCTTGACTATTAGTGAGACTGCCTCTTGCGTCGAAACCAACGACATGAGGCCTGGGAATCTAAAAAAAAAAAAAAACAAAGAATTTATCTTCCGTCATACGCCGGCCGGGATGTTGTAGATATGACAACAAACATCGATCGTGTAACACAACAACAACAATAATAACAATACAGTTAAAAAGGAAACATCTCTTTGTTAAGTCGCACCTTGCGTCCAACATTCCAGTCTGCTTGTGAAAAATGTTTGAGCGTTAATTCGTTGTATTATCATAGGTATTTACGTTTACGTGATTGAATCATGAAACAATTATTGTTGCTTGTAAAACAATGTTGAGTCTAACGAATGTTGATCAATGTGTGTATTAATATTTATTGTATATATTCCGAGATAATTTATCGAGAATAAAGTCTATATTTTCACGAAGTATGTATCGAAATTGTTAATTCTTTTGGTTTTTCCAATAATGTCAACAATACCGAATTAAGATTTTCAAATTTTTACCCTAAAAAAAATGTACACTCACTTAATTTTCGGGTTCTTGCAGAGCCCGGTGTCCACCATGTACGGATAAACGGTCGTGAACTTGATGTTTGAATTGGTACCCCCGACCGAAGTCGAAACTCTCAACTCCTCGCTCAGAGCCTCCATCAGACCTTCGTTGGACAATGTATTTTCATGAAATAATTTACGCTTGAAAAATAATCAAGTAGTTGTTATGGCTATAGATACCTCTGACGGCGAATTTGGTGGCGCAGTATGGCACCAAGTTGGTCAGCCCGATGATGCCGGCCATAGAGGACAGTGCGACCACGTGGCCGTGATTTTTGGCTAGCATGTCCGGCAAGAAGGCTTTTAACATCTGCGAATCGTATTGTTAATTAAAAAAAGGAAAAAAAAACAATGGATCAGAACTTACCCACAAATGCGACATGATGTTAATTTCAAAGACCTTTTGGATCTCCTCGGTCGTGTGGTCGAGAAAGGGCTTGCAGGGCATTATACCGGCGTTGTTTATCAAGATCGTCACGGTGCCCACCTCCCGTTTCACCCGTTCGGCCATACGCATCACCTCCTCTCGATTCGTCACGTCGCATCTTTAGATATGTTATTAAATGATGAAAAAAAGATATGGTTTTTCTTCATTGTGACTTCAAACTTGATGAATACAAACGTTATGGATAAATGAATCGATATTTATGAAATGCATAGCGTGGTAAGCCGATTTAATACCGATTTTTCAATGACCAAGTGTTGTAAAAATCGAGACTCACTTGTAGCCGTGCGCGGCGGCGCCACCGCGTTTCTTGATCTCGTTGACCGTCTCGTCGTTGCTGACCTCATTGATGTCCCAGCAAACGACTGTGGCACCCAGGGACGCGTACCTTAAGGCCAGCTCCTTTCCAATACCGTGGCCCGTACCAGTAACCTGTTCATTGTTGCAACCACGAGTATTTTTAACTCTTGATGTTCACATTCGAATGCTCAGACTCGATAATCAATATACCATTTGCAATAAAAAATAATTTTTTTTCTCAAACACATTTTGTTTGTACTATAGTTGTGCCCAAGGTATAATAATACCCTTATTTCAACCGAACGGGACATACTATACGTAACGATGTATACGATCGATCCAAGTAGATCTTAATACAGCCACGTATGCACGACCATCATATCTGTCACCGCCATTACACCCATAAGATGGGAAGGGAGAAACATATATTATATCTATAGATTCTCGAGCAACCCTCGTTTTAACTTATTTATACGCGCGAGCATGTAATAACGTATTGCATCGGAGACCACACATATAAATCCGTAGCAGAGTACATTGCACCTTCAACTTATAGATACTAGCTTTCATCGTATTTTTCTTCCTCTTTTCTCCATAGTAACCCTCTCGTATGGGTTATATACATGACTTATTAATCCAACGATTTTATCGAGTACGAGCTATAAGTAAATTTGCCGATCGATGCCACGTGCAATGACACCTACATTATATCATACTATACTATACGTGTATCCATTTAATACGCGCGCGTTTTATACGTATCTGTGGTAACAATGTAATATCGGGGAGCGGGACACAGTCGTAGGCTTTCTTAGCTCACCAGCACGATTTCACCGGCTACGCTCTTCTCGTCCACTGGAACGAAGAATCGATACACGCCCTCGACGATGTAGTAGAAGATCTTTAGCAGGAGCACCAGCACGTCTGCTATTACCATGGCACCGTTGTAAGCCTTCACCATCGCTGATCTGCAATCACAGTTGCAACGAATGATTAATTTTTTTATTTATTTAATTCTCTTTTTTTTTTTTTTTTTTTTTTTGCATCCACGATTGTACTTCACGCAGACACGCTTTTACGATTAATCGTTTGACAAATTTAATCATGATNAAAAAAAAAACCTAAAATACCCAATTCCCAGAGCCGGCGGCACAGTATGGGCAAGCCAGGGATGCCCGACGAGTCGCGCTCTTTCCTGAACTTCTCGCGTGAGAACCTCAGCATCTCGAACTCGGACCTCGAGCAGGGCTTCGGTCGCTTCCCGGGGGGGTCGCGTCTGGCGTTGTTCCGCTGCCGCGTCAGTCGGCAAACGCTCATCAGTTGGGCCGCGCTTTTTTTGGCCCTGAGCTGCGCTGGCCTCGTCCTGTGGAAGCTGCGGAGGGTGCTGGCCAACGCAAGGGACATCGAGACTATGCGCCGGGACGTCGAGACCCTCAAGCACCGTTTGCTCGAGAAGGACTTGCTGGACGAGCTCCGGGCCTTCGAGGAACAGGTGGGCGCTTCCGTGCTTTTCATCTTCATTTTTCTTTCTTTTTTTTTTGATGATCGAGGGGGACATTTCTTGGGATTTGTCAATAGTTAATGAAAAGTTTGAGCATTTAATTAAATTCGTGTCAAATTGAATCGTAAAAGTTTAGGGGGCTCTGGCGCGTTAAGAGGTTTAATGCGTTTATTAGCGGAGATCGAGGGAACGCGTTTCTCGCTATGATCCACTGTTTCGTCGAAGTCAGTTTTTTCAAGACTACTTGATGAAATTTTCCCCAAAGGTGATTTTTCGACAAACAACTTGTGCGTTTTTAAACCAGTTTAACATTTTTTTTTTTTTTTTTATTTCCAAAGCCGAAACTGGTGTGCGATCGGTATGAGATCGGTATTTCGGAATAACTTATGCGTGTGTAAAAAAATATCTGAAAAACCATTTAGATCGCAGATACAAAAGTTTTTGCCTCGAAAAAATTCATAGGCAATATTCCAATATTCTGTGTGCAGCGCAAACATCGCCCAAGACGTTGTGTTTACTCCTTAAATAAAACACATACGAGTCCAAATATTACCGCACATCGTATCCCGTTACTCATACATACTCTAAAACTCGGCATAATACAATAATTGTACGATTTTTACGTAAAAAATTTGGTTCGTCGGAAAAAAATCATTTGTAAGTTTTCACAATGAAATTATTTATGCTTTCAAGCCATGTGCTCGAGTACAAAAGACCCAATGGCTTTGTGACCAACAAAACAACATTCAACGAGCAATTCAAAGGAGAGGCTCTGCTGTTCGGACTCAAAGAAAAAAACACTGATGGATGGTCTTTTTTTACGCGATAAGATGTTAGAATACTCGAATAATGTTCTTTTTTTTGTAAAAAGAAAAAAGAACAAGATAAGTAGCCACTCCAGCACAAAACAAGTTTATAAAAACGAAGGTATATCATTATAGCACGCAGCGAGAACCTAGCAAGTATACTCGTCGTTTGCGAAAGACCACAAACATTTTCCACAAAAACGCTATCGCTGAGCAAAAAAAAAAAAAAAAAAGAAAAAAAAAGGATGAAAAGCCAAAACGAAGCGGCAACGAAAAATAAAAGTCAGCTCGAAAAATTGCAACGAAACAGTTGCGCAACGAGAGTCTACATACGCTTATACTTACGTATGTACTCTACGCCTCAATTGGTTTTAATGGCAGCTACTGCACTCGCGAGTGAGTCTTAAATTAGTAGTAATGCCTCTTTTTTTTTTTTTTTTTTTTTTTTTTCACTCCTCTCTCACGTCGCTCTGAAACTCTTGTGCCGAGGAGGTCCGATCGGGCGTAAACAATTATCCGCACGTATTTACGATCGTCAATTTAAATCTGACTTATTTAGTACGCGATCGAAAATTGAGCTCCCGATAAGGCGTCCCTCTGTTTTTTAAGCACAGCGTTTTTATTAATCACGGGGCTTGATAATTGATATCTTGTTTTTTTGCCCCAACTTCTTAATTGCACAAAGAGTGCCCGTGAAATCACGGCAATGACGAACTTTGTGATTGAACGAGTCGTGGAAAAAACAACGTATTAATTGGCACGTCCATCGTAAGAAGAAATTTGACAAAAACATGGAGGAAAAAAGTACACGCTTATGGAGAAAATTTCAATGCGACGCTTTGATGATCCCAAAAAAAATGTATCAAACCTTTGGCTTCGCTCATATCCAACGGATGATAAATCTAAGAGATAATCAACCCGAGTGATAACGCTATCAATTTATTCCTGTATTATTGTAAAATCAAATGAATCAATGGCATTTTCGTGGGTTTTTACAACTTTTTAATTTCAATCATTCCAAAGTAATAATCCAAAAATAAATGTATCCAACTTGAGTTCACGTGCCGCGAGCTTATACATCATGCACACCAAATACGTGTATATAGACGTAAAATCAGCATAGCTTGAATTTACGCGATTATTTGTAAACAGCACGCGCGTCGGGTGTGTATGCCCGGCGGGCGTGCCGGGATTTTCTATGTGTCAGTATAACCATGACTGGTCATCGTGTCCACCCACGTATACCTATATAAATATACGCAGATATAAGCATACAGTTTAAAAATTTTTAAAGAAAACAGGTGTTTGTTACGGTAGTATATAGACATATACTGACAAACAGACAAGGATATCCTCGTGAAGTAAATAGTACATCCATGTTGTAGGACAAATTAACTTGTGATTTATATTTGAAAAAAAGTACAGAAATTAATACCTGAGAATTGGTGGATCGAAGAAAAAGTTTGAAAGTATGTATATACACGCATAATTATTATGCCGGCAAGTTATCTCGTAACGAGGCAACTAATGACATCGAGGAAGTACATACAAATTGACATTGGGAAGTTATTGTTTTTATTATCCCGAGATTTCCTTCCATACTTGAGTTAATGAGCCAACGATCGGTTGCTTTGGCTAATGAAGGAAATTGCAAGACTGAATATATTTTGCTTTATAAATTGTATTATTGGATGAGTATCGATACACCGGAGTAATTAAAAACAGCTTTGCCAAAGAAATCGGGTAAGCCGATAATCTCATCATCGAGTGGGAGATGAAAAAAAAAAAGAAAGAAAAAAAAAAATAGTAGTTTTTATGTTACCGATTATCTTAGATGACTCGCGTCGTTTCCCCAATCTCCGTTTCCTTGATAATCCTTCGCGCGCGCACCTTGAGGTGATTTTTTTAATACAGAGGACGGATCGAGTCGCGTGGCGCTTCGAGAATGCAAAGTAAGACGCGTCAACATATTTTTTTTATTCGGAGATGCAGTAAATATCTATCGATGGTTCGTAAAACCTTCGACGAGAGGCTATCCGCTTTCGTGTATCGCGTAATTGAGATTATGCGTATACTTGTGCGCCTTTTTTTCCTTTATTTAATATCCTTGCCTTATTTTCAATTTTTTTATCTCGTTTTTTTTTTTTTTTTTTTTTTCACAATTCACAAAAAAAAAATACCTTTGATCACAAAAAAAAACAAAAAATTTTCCATAAATGAGTCGTAGGGGCTTTTTTCCAGAACAGTTATATTTTTTTTTTTCACTTTCACGCTGATTTTTCACGCAGAACGAATCGTTTGATTTGTTTTTTACACCATTGCGTACTTGATCCGATGTAAGACTACAGGATTGTGATACACAGGCGAAACAATGAGCGTGTGGGTTTTAAGTAAAAAATAAGGTAACATTTTCAACCAATTTCTCAATGTACACCAGTAACAGAGCGCAGTTGACTGTAATTAGTTGTCTTTTTGGTGAAGAACGAAAAATAGTTTATTGTTTATTATTTTTTTCAAGCAAAGCATGTCATCCAATATCGATAGCAAAAATAACAATCGGTTGTATCAATCCTTATGATTTCATTGACATTCACTTCTGAGGGTTCACGAGATTTTTAATTATTCGCATTAGAGAAAAAACCAATTTTTCCACGAAACAAAAAACTTCACACTTTTTTTTTTTTTTTTTTTTTTTTTTTTTTTTTTTTCATATTTTTTAAATCTTATAGCCAAAATGAAAAAAAAAACCTATACACATACTTATTTCCTTTTTATTTGACTATCATCTAATGTTTCTATGTATGTATCTTTATTTACACGCACTCGATTACAAACAAGCTTCAAGTGACACATAGTGGAAGAAACCTATTTGATTAGATCTTCGTGAACACTGTGATAATTTATCGATCAGATTTTCCATATATCCTTCAACTGATTATAAACCAATTAGAATACATTACTCAATTATTGCTTGTCATTGAGCATAAATATTTTCAAATGGTTATACAGTGTACACCAGAAAACAAATTATTTTTTTAAAAGACCTCACGTCAAAGAAAAATGCAACGTTTTTTTTAAATATATGATAGCCAGTTTCAATCACCAACAACACACACCTACCTTTGTTATTGAACGATAGTCCAAAGTATAAAATACGACGAGCCGAATACTTTTCCAGAGTAGATCCCAACTCCCCAAGTCCAGAAATATGCCTATGTGTATATACTTAATTATAGCTTAGTTGAAAAAAACAAAATAAAAAGTGACAAAGAAACCCGAGAAGATTGTGTTATGAGAAGCGTGCGCTCGCCCGTGTGTCTGATATGCGACGCTGTCGGTGCGCGACTGACTATATTACAACTCGCTCGAATAGCCGAGTGGTAACGTCTGATGCGAGAAAGGGACGAGGAGAAGACTGTGTTATTGTCGGCTTGGAAGGAGCTGGGGCTCAAGTAGCGCTTTTTCACCACTTTGGCCCGACAAAAGCCAAGTACCTTATACTTACTCGATGGGCGTCGAGTAAAATTAAAGAGCAATAGCTCCGCGAGAGTAATTGTCGAGTATAGTTCAGAGGTGCTCGTGATGAATTTTGTTGCATTTTATGATGACTGTGTGAAAGAAAAATTAATTTATTCGTTAGAGTTGACGTTTATCTGATCAACTTGGCCTGACTACTCCTCCCAGCGCGTCGTATTTTACCAAACAAAGTGTTTTAACGCATAAAAATTATAAAATGAAAATAAATGAAAATCTATAATTTTGTTTGTCTCTTCTAGTTAGCTGGAGTACTACGTTTATTTTGTGAAAAAGAAAAAGAAAAAATTATTTCTGTATGGTCTAGGGCTGAAATTCGTCCAACCAAGATTTTTCAGAAATTAATTTCACGTAGTATCAAACACATGCCCGCAAAGAGCTCCACCTTTTTCGGAATTCGGAATGCACAAATTTTTTACACCACGCCGCGAACAAAAGTAAGAGCACGCGCGCGAGTTTGAGCAATTCACTTTCATTCGGTCCGCCATCGTGGGCTGCTGCAGCAGCTGCGGACGAGTTTCGCGAGATAAGACCGAGAAATACGAGAGTTGTGTGCACGTGCGTACACATATACTTAGGTACACACGTGAGGCTGGTGCTCTCCGCTGTCGTGGAGGAAAATTTCGAGATTATACATTAATCGTAAAAATTTGATTCTTTTTTTTTTTTTCAACTACTACTACTATAGTTTTTAAAAACAAGGTAATGTAGATTATGTTACGTTTCGAATAAAAAATATGTATTTTTTGTCTGAGTTACTTTTCAAATGCATACCTATTTAAAGATCGTATTGATCAGTTCGTTTTATCATGCATCATTTTAATTAAATGTTTCATCTTACAAGTCAATCAAGATTTTACAAACGAACGTAGATAATGTAAATATTCAGCTGATACGAAATTCTTTCTAAACTTATTGAAAAAATTTAATGTTGCATTTAGCAAATTTACAATATTTTGTCATCACTCATTAAATTAATATAATCTGAAAAATCGGTCCAACAAACAAATTTAGCAAATTTATAAAAGAAATCGCCTTTCTAAATATTTAACATTTTCTCGTAGCTCAAAGGGTTACTAGTATAAAATTTTGTTTCACATTTTATTTTGTCTGAAACCTTAAAAATTATTTATAAAATCGAGCTTCATCCAACTTAGGTTTTATGCTTTTTGGCCAAGCTCACTGCCATTCTGCAACATTACCAATTTTTTTTACTGCAGCATAAGCTCTTAAAAGTTTGAAATCAAAGGATAAAACGGATAAAGAGAAACTTGTCGATGTACGAACGACCACAATCTGTGATTTTTCCCGGCATTTCGAGAGTTATCTTACACCAATACGCCTCCAAGTATCTATCACTCGACTGGATTATACGAGCGCTAATAATACGTTCGTGAAACGAGTTCACAATTTGTAATACACACAAGTACTAGCAGAGTGATAAAACGAGTGATTCAAGTTGCAGCAGTAATGGCTTTTATCATCTCTAAGTTTATCAAAATTGAAAATTTTATATGTTCAAATTGTTTGTAAATTCTTTTAAATTACATCATCTCTCATAAAAATAATAATTTTGTTCAAGTAAACACGCAAATAAAGTTTCGTTAAAATATTATCAACAAAATGAAAAGTTAGCCTTGACAAACAACATTTGTAACTGCACACGATCAGTTGAGAGCTTATCTTTAAGGAACAATGAAATTCTAAGGTGTCAACTATTAATTTAATTTAGTTGGTCTCAACTGTCATTATTTTTGCAATTTATTTGTACGAGACAACATAATTTATTGTTCCAATCAAAATAGAAATGATGTATGTATTTAACAACAGGCAAAATATAAATAAGTAATCCAAATCTGGGTAAATAAGAGAATAGTGGGTTGATGTAGAAAATTAAAATTAATTATTAATAGAAGAATAAACGTACGAAGGGAACGTATGGGACAAGATAAAATAAGGTAATCTAAACAATTACAATTGATTTATGCCCGAATAAAATTTTAAGACAAATCGATTATCATCATGAACTGGTATGTGTGGGCATCAGCACTATTAAAGTTTAATTTTAATGTGTATCTAGTTGTTGGAATGAAAATTATTTCGGCTTGAAGATTTTACAAAAATACTAAAATATGAGGAGTTCTTGCAGATTATTATCTTGTAAATTGAATGAATATTCGTGGAGACATTATTTTCATCCATAATGAGCTGTGAATAGCGCAATAAATACATGGAAATAAAAAGACTAAAAAAAACGAAGGAAATTTTCCTGATGTCTAATTTTAAAAGTCGGCAACCCATCGGCTCCATAGCTCAGCTGGTTAGAGCGTCGTGCTAATAACGCGAAGGCCGTGGGTTCGATCCCCTCTGGAGCCATTTTTTTTTTTTTTTTTAGTACATAATTGTACAACTATAACTCGAGATTTAAATTTAACATTTAAAACATTCATTTTATGCTAAAAAAGGGGTTGTTGGGTTACAACATTCATTAAAAAACTTACTAGGTACGAGCATGGTTTTTATTAACACTATTAATCTGTTAGTTTAATTATTAATTTGAACAATTAAATAAAGTAGTAATCAAGCTTATTGTTATTGTTGTTGAATTTGTATTTAATATAATATTAAAATCATAAAATTTCTTAATACCACCCTCCACTACAAAAGATCACTTTGTTTCCTACCGTCAGCAAACGCCCGACCATCCGCAAAAACCCTGCAAATTTGTATAAATTTACCATATTTTTCAAGAACGTGATGATCATTAATAGACAATTTTTATAAAATTACTTCGAAAAAAAAAAAAAAAAAAAAACTCCAGCCCTCGATTCGTACTTACACATGTTCATAAACTCTCTTTACTATCCTAAACGTTTAATTTTTTTTTGTACATCCACGTACCCGTAGTTGAAATGGCATAATTAAACATACACACACATACCATATACAAGTAAACCAGACGTGGATTATATTGTGGGCAGTTGGGCACTTGGGCAAATGGGCGGTGGGCACACCATATACAACACGTGTGTGTCCCCGCGCGTCACACACCACCTGTCGCGCGCACGCGCACACAGCCACACGCAGGGGAATCCCCCTCTGACCTCGCACCCTTAAGTATAGGTCGAGGACTTCACCCCAACCCCTTTCCTGTAAAATAAAAGTGGTAAAACACAGAAAGATATTATGCAGTTGCAAGCAGACATTAATAGGTATTATTATTATTATTATTATTATGAACTTTCTCATGTGCACTTGTAGTTGCACCAATTTGATGGAGAGCAATGCCCGTGAATTTTTGTCAAATTTTCAAGTATATAATTCTCCTGATATGTGCATTGGAATTTGATACGAGGTGCATCGCCAACCAAAGAACAAAGCCTACAGCTCTTTATACATCTATAGGTATATGAAGGTGTGTGTGCAACGCTGATCGAGGAGAGAGAGAGAGAGAGCTAAAGTGTAGGTATTGTACACCAGCAGGCAAAATGGCGAGGAGAGGAGGCTGCCTGCTCTCTCACCTATATGTAAGTATATATAAGGTACCAATGTACAACAAACCTCACGTATATGTATATAGATACATGCCATAGTGCCACCACCACCACCACCACCACCACCACCAGCACTGTGTTGCCTTGCTGCGGGTCTGGCACACGCCAGCCAACGGGCCAGCACTTAGTCTACCACCCGTCGTTGCTCCGAAACGTGCTCTTTGTATCATTTTTAGCCGCTTGGTACATCAAAATAGTGCTTACTTATCGCATGACAAGTATACCTTTTGATGCGGCACCTCGTGTGTACATTGCAACTATACGGTGCGCTGTGCGGGAGTAATAAATAAAATAAATTCGGCAAAGCTCCGTGGTACGTGTGCCTCTACAGTGCCATTGCCACCCCACTGTATACACACATACACCGCATACTTACCATCGCAAACCTCTATAACCCAATAACCCCTTGAATATCATTACAACTGTTATTTTCATTCCTCCGAACAATTAAACTCTAAAGTTCGAGGTACAGGATTGTGTCGTGTGTATCATCCCTTGGTCCGTCCTCCCCCCCAGCACGTAATGCAGCAACGAGACCGGGTGACGTGCGAATAACGCTTTTCGCCCCTTACCCCCGGATTGTCATCGTTGCAAGCTGCACCTGCAGCGTGTCCTCGTGCAGGAGAGTTTCGGAACAACTAATGGCTGAACTGGAGGAACGAAGCGAGGATCTTTCGATGCAGTTGCCACCACAGGAGGCTGGACCGTGGATACTGCACGACATCGACTGCCGCGTCAACGAAGCTGTTGTTTGCGACTTCGAGGGGGACACGGAGGACTAGTTGCCCTCGACGCGCGCTCACAACGTGCTCGGCTAACGTGAGTTTCTCTCTTTCTTTTTTTTTTTTGNNNNTTTTTTTTTTTTTTTTTTTTTTTTTTTTTTTTTTTTTTTTTTTTTTTTTTTTCATCGTTATTTCGGATGAGTACTCGAGAGAGTAGTACTTTACACAGGGGCTTACAATGGCTCGTTTGTTTGATTTTTCTCTCTTGTTTTTTTTGGGGGGGGAGGGACTCACGTGTCGGGGGATGATGATAAAAATAATCGCTCGATCGTTGGGATGTGCAGGGGTGTTTTTTCTTTTTTTTTTTTCGCTCCTGGTGCAGTGTTACTCGGTGATGGGATTGTTTTGTCAGTCGCTACGACAAAATGTGTGCGATGTTTACCACCAACGACACGTTACACCGCCGTTTAAACATATCATGTACCAATGCAGTATATCGGTTACATCCACATGATTGTTTCGCGCTGTCAATTTTGACATTCGTGTGTCGCCGAACGAGTATCTGTATACACTGTGACAGCTGGCACATACCTGCACACTTTCCCTTTGTATCGCACTGCTCTACTTTACATGCGCGCTGTCATCGCAATAATAATTTTCTTTAACGATGCGCTCGAAACTTATTTTAACGAGAAAACGGTATGTTTTTGCGATACACATACCGATCCAAGCTGTACTAATATTGTTCAACTTTTTGACGTCCTTCACGGCCATCTATTGATATTATAAGTGCATTGTGGAATGTTATTTTATTCATGTATTTTTTTTTTTTTTTTCTTTCATTATGATTGTTCTTTAAATGACATTCGTTACGAAAATACCAGCTATATATACCGCGATGTTTGTGTTGCTTTTTGCCGAGTACAAATAATAATGACAAACATTATCGGAAAACAATAACTTCCTCAGTCGCCTTAAGTAAAAAAAAAAAGAATGAACGTATGAACGATTCTGTGAATCGATACATCATTTAGCCAACCACCCAAGCTTCCCCGGTTGTGCAAGCGACGTGTCTTCGTCCCACGCACGTAATGTCATATGCGATTGCGATGGAAAAACGCGGTTAGCGCGATTACAGGCTTCCTCAAGGTCGTCGGGTCGTTAATGAATTCGCAACAGTTGATAAGTTCTAACGACATATCAGGTGTCGACAACGATGGCATTGACAGTAACATTGGAAAACTTCTTCTTTTTCTTTTTTTTTCCTTTTCTTTGCTTCCATGTGCCAACTGGTCAACAATTTCAACTTCGCGACGTTCCGAAGCTTCGGAGTACAGTTGCTTGTTGGAGGATTTTTTAAATTCCCGAGAAGAAAAAGGGTCTTCGCGTTAGCGGAAAGCCTCGAATTTCGCGTTTGGCAAAAGGGAAAAAAAGAAATTGCCACTACACTCGGCAGAGAAGCCAAGAGACTGCGCGCGTGTACATGTATTTGCTGCCGTAAGCGAATACGTGCACGTGCGTAAAGTAAAAAAAAAAAAAAAAACGGCAGCGAGAATCTCATCTAGACAAATGAAAAAGCTACGCTTGTATATATGCAAGGGGTGCGCGCGGTGTATATGGGGTACACGTATATATACATGCACGAGAGAAAGAATCCGGAGGGAGAGCCTATCGTCGTATATCTTTCTTCCTCTCCCGTGTCCCTTTGCCTCGTTCCTTCATTCCCGATTGGATTTTTCGGAAAAGAAACCGGTTACTTGAGCCCGTAGACGACGACTGGCTTCACCATGATATCTTTTTGCCTTCCATATATACGTGGCACCACGTGATGCGTACACTCGCATTTGTGCGACTATACTGTTGGAGGAGTCACAAAGCGAGGAATTGATTTTTAGAGCGCGTATCGATTCCTTTCCCGTCTATTCCTCCGTCTGTTTTTTTTTAGTCTCTTCGCCCACTGACTCCCTGTTCGTATAGTCCGTTGACTCGTGTACACCTAGAACCCAAGTGTTTTTACTCTTTTTAGCAGCAACACTTGGATATCCATTTAGGATCTACCTCCTAATAGGTAAATCCGTCGTCGTGATTTATTCTTGTTGGTCCATTCAATGAACGCGTATGTGGTGGTTTCCCCCCCCCCCTTTTTCAAGGAGGTTCTTAATTACAACAAATGGATGAATAGTATAAGGAAAACGATATGATTGCAGTAATACTTGGACTCATTAAATTTTCAAAAAAATGTTACATGGAGTCACGAGGGGGATTTTTAACGTGGGAATAAAAAAATATTTCTCTACCGAATCTCAACTAGGAACGAACACTTGCCGAAATTTCCAATTTCCTTGGGTTTTTCACACTCGCGTTTCCTTATTCGCCCACGCGACTCGCACCCTGTATCCTGTACCTTCACGTGACTCGAATGTTTGATTCAATTTCCACCGCAATCTTCGATCCCCCTCTTCCACTGTACCGATCACGCAACTTATATCTGTTACTGTTTGAGTTTTTTTTTTTTTTTTCTCTCGATTGGCGGAGTCATGTGTAATTTATAATTTCACGATAACGTGAGAAAAAACGCGTCGTAAAGTGTACAAGTTTCGAGATTGAAGGTTGAGAAAATTACCGGCTCCGAGGATCTCCCAGGCTTCAATGTTGCTCTCCTTATCATCGACACTTCTGTTGTCGTAAGCATGAAATCGTAAGAAAAAAAGAAATTTCTCCAATTTTCAGTACCTAATCAACCTATCTATCGAGAATAGGCGTTTCAATTAAACACAATAAAACACACAAATCGAGATTAAACGGGAATCAATCATATATATATTCAAACGAAGCGCCTTACTTTTTTTCTACAGTATAATATTGCGAGTAAGAATCGCTCGGGTGCATTACACGCATCGTTGAGTTAATTAAGAGAACAGCGGCAGAATCGGCCAATTAAGCCGCCACACTTTTGCACTGCATAATAACGCAAAATACATGGTGTCGAGACTTCCGATCTCGTGCGATACACAGAGACGACTTTCTAAGTTCGAGACAAATGCGACTGCATCGGTTACATGTATGTGTGCATACTTACACCCACACATATACTCATGTGTGGTGTACAATGGAGGTAACCTTTCACTTTGACGCTCGAGCCCGAGTGAAACCACATTTCCAACACTATACTGTACACTCGGAACGCCATAATATATATACTTATAAACACTTACAGGATCGAGACAATTGAACTCGCTCTCGTTGCCCCGCGGAGACCTACTTCCAAAAACCTCCAGACACCGTATTATGTACCTATACGAGTAGGTACAATCAAATCTCATAAGCAGCTCTCTTCTCTATACGTTATACAAAATCCGACCAACCACATTATGGGCTCGATGCATGGCATAAAAAATTCACCTCGCGCGCCTTCATACCCATCGGCGCAGCCGCGCGTAGACCGGAAGCTCATCGGTCTGTAAAAACGAGCTGTTTAGGCCTTACCGTGCGTAACGCGGGATATGGAGTAATAACGCATATGTAACGCGTTAATACGAGGTCAAGACAAAAAAAAAAGTTTGTACCTTTGGTGGTTGAAAAAATATCATAGGTCGGGACACGTAAAGTCTACCTATTTTGTACGTATATTATCCACTCGACTCTACCTCGTACGTATATTTGTGTAATACATGATAAATGTACACAAGCGCGTCTGGAGTTTAATTGTTTCAAGAGTATTCAAGTAAAAGAGGAGTCGGGCAATAAGACAAATGTGCCAAGACCACGGCACGCTCGTATACGCTCATGATGTATGCCATCAGCCACACGCGGTCGGTGGCTTTTTATTGACGCTCTTGAGTTTTCACGCATTGGCGTATCGAAACGTCCGTCTCTTGACTTCTGGCTGTTGGCTCGTAATTGATGCGATCGATCCTCGAAGGGACGTGATCAAGACACTCGCCCGAAAGTAAACGAGTTTTCTCGATACAGCGAAATGATACCTACTTACTTTTTCTTTTAGCTACGTGCAGGTTGAATAAATCGTTTTGATCGGTATGCGATCGGTACTGTTTTTTTTTTTTTTTTTTTTTTTTACATTTTTTAATGCGCAGTTAACGCGGTTTAACCGTGTGCATTGAGCAAACAAGTTGTTTGTTTTTTTTCCAAGAAAGGAGTCTATTTAAAAATTGGCGCTTTTCCCAATTCGGTCATTGTGATTTATCCATTCTTCGAAAAATTTGTTCCTTAAAAACATCGTAAATAGTATAACCGGTCTTGAACACGAGTAATTTTCCGAATACTTTATGTGATATAATTTTTTTTTTTTTAAACAATTTTTTCGATACTACTTATTACACAGTTAGCAACCATTACATCTTAAATAAGAGAAAATCAATCTAAATACTTGCTTAAGTAGACGTTATTCCTTAAAAACGTGTTGATCGGTTTGCTTTGCAGAAAAAACATTATGAAAGTTGATGTGCAATATTTAGTTGTCTGGGAGTTACAAAGAGCACACCCACGCAATCGATATACGTCGACGAGTCTGGGCTGTACAAGCAAAATCTTCTTGAATTAAGGAGGAAGATGTGATTTATTAAAATGCTCCTTCCGTCTTGCGGCAATTAGGAAACCCTTGAGGAAACCCAAGCGGCTTAACTGCGCCCATCAATCAATCTTCGCTTGTACTTTGGCTTGTTGTCGATGGATTTCTTTTTTTTTCTTTTCTTCTTTTTTCGTTTCGCCTACACAGAAATACGGATTTTCATTCGGAACTATTTTACATATAAAGTACGTCTCTATGAGTATAAGTTATTTTACGTAATTCATCAAAAATAGTTTTAAATTGATTACATGAAAAAGACATTTCGTAAAGTACTCTTCAAAATCAGCATTTGAATGAGAAATACGTCATCATTTCTGACGGTATTTTTAGAACGAAAAAGCTCTCGACATGTAAACGAGTCATTATTTAATATAACTAAGAAGTTCAAGATGCACGTCAATATTTGTATGACAAGAGCTGAAACGGTCAAATGGAAATGGTTTGCGTCATACGTTGTTAAATGAATGATTGTCCACGTGCAGCATAATATTTTCTTGCATGTAAAGTGC